TTTCTTTCTTTCTCTTAACTGAGGTATAATTGACATAGTAACATTATATAACTTTTGGGTGTATAACATAATGATTCAGTATTTGTATATACTGCAAAATGAGTACCACAGTAAGTCTAGCTAACATCCGTCACCTACGTAGTTAAAGAATTTTTTCTAATGATGAGAACTTTTTTTAAAGATCTCTAATATGCAATACAGTGTTATTAATTTTAGTTGCCATGCTGTACATTACATCCCCATGGCTTGCTTATTTTATAGGTGGAAGTTTATACCTTTTGACTCCCTTCACTCATTTCTCCCACCCCCACCCCTGACAACAACCAGTCTGTTCTTTGTGAGCTTGGTTTTTGTTTTGTTTTGGGTTCCACATGTAAGTGAGATCGTATGGTAATTGCCTTTCTCTGTCTGACTTATTTCACTTAGCATAATGCCCTCAAGGTCCATCCATGTTGTTGCAGATGGGAAGATTTCATTCCTTTTTTTTAATGACTGAGTAATATTCCTGTGTGCACGTGCATGTGCATCACATTTTCTTTATCCAGTCATCTGTCAGTGGACACTTAGGTTATTTTCATCTCTTGGCTATTCTAAATAGTGCTGCAGTGAACCTGGCTGTGTGTGTGTATCTTTTCAAGTTAGTGTTCTCATTTTCTTCCGATAAATACCCAGAAGTAGAATTACTGGATCATTTGGTAGTACTATTTTTTATTTTTTTGAGGAGCCTCAATACTGTTTCCTATCGTGACTGCACCAGTTTATATTCCCACTAACAGTGCACGAGGGTTCCCTTTTTGCCACATCCTTGCCAATACTTGTTTGTTCTCATCTTTTTGATAATAGCCATCCTAACAGACGTGAGACTCATTGTGGTTTTGAATTGCATTTCCCTGATGATTAGTGATGTTGAACATCCTCTTTTTTTCCCCCCTCCTCAGTTTGTCAGAAGGTATCCAAGGATATACACCAAAGGGAACAGGGGTTCCTCTATTGAAGGCAGCAGCAAGAGAGCAAAGGGGGACTTTGATTTTACCCATCAATGTTTATGAGAATGTTTGTTTTACTTCCTTAATTAAAGACAAAAATGTTTAAAACATTTAATTTTTCAAGGCCATTTAAAGAGTTCTTGTCTTCTGGATGGACCGTTGATTCCTGTTCTGTTCCAAAATATGTTGGTTTCTTTTTCCTTTAAGCAAGTAACTCTTGTTACCAGAAGCTGGTGGTCTGATAAAGAGTGGAGACTATAGGGAGGGATGTTGAGGGTAGCTACTGGTCCCTAAAACAGAACTGGGCTGTGGTTTCTGTTACAGACCAGGGTGTAACAAGTTGCTTTTAAAGGCCTTTTCTGACCTACACAATTGGCTCCTCTTGTCATCTTGCTGCCTCTGAGTTTACTCTCCTTGGTTCAGAAGCCAAGTGTCCCAAGTATAGCTTAGCCCTCAAAGTGCAGAAGGAATCCTCCTCTCTTGGGATGAACCTAGGGCTCTTTTTAGATCCAGGTACTTTATCCCTTTGAGAGGAAAGAGGCTCTTTGGTGTTACCTAGCGGAGGGCTTCTTGAGTTCTCTTCCATGCTAGAACTAATTCTAATTGCATTTTTAAAGCATTCTATGGTGTACTGGGTCTGCTTCTTACAGGAAAGCAATAACATTTCCTGGTTTCTCAACTAACATTGAGAGCTGGACACAGGCACAAATGCGCACCTACGTACCTGCCTTGCCCTCAAGGCATGCTTTGTTCCTCTAGAACTCAGCAGAAATGCTCCCAGCCTAGTGAAGTAATCAACTGATTTGCAAAAAGTCCAACCAACCTGGATACTTACCGGAGGGCCTTAAAGGTGTTCTCTGATCTCCAATGTTATTGTCAGACTCCAGGATTAGAATCATCTCAAACTAATCTTTCTAAGATGAACTTCTTGTGAGAATAGGAATAGACTCAAATCTGTTTTGGATTTCCTTCCTCTTCAGATACATCTCTTTAAGAGAATTCTTCTTAACTATTTGAGTATTAGGGTTTTCCCAGATCTGAGTCTGTACCCAAAGCTTTCATCCTTTCTTGGGTACATCTAGTTCCCAGCCTTACATTACTGTGTGGAGTTGAGCCAGTGGTATTGCTGGAGAATGAACTTGGGGCAAGGTCTGGAGGTACATTTCCTGGGGTGAATATTTTTCATATTGAGCTCCTGATTGCTAATCTTGGTGCTTACTGGCCTAGAGAGGACTCTACTGATTAATTCAAGACAAGCACAACCCCCAAATAAACAATAAGTTCTCTTTGAAAAATCTAAAACTAGGGAAAAAACTGGGTTTTGTTCAGTTGGTAAACATTTGTTCGTCCTGGTTGTTGGCCAGGTGTTAGGAATATAGTCCCAGACCTTCTTGGCTGTTAAGGAATTGGCTGTGTAATACATCCCTTTCTTACCTCCTACCCCTTATGTTTTAAAGTATGGTAACTTGGAGTAAATCCTTGGTAAATGTAGGTTATAATAATCTGACAGAGAGGGGATCTGTGAACACTGCCCAGGCTTGTTAACATTTTCTTGTAGCTTCTGGTGCCATCCTGGCAGTGTTTTGTTTAGTTTCCCCATTGGAAAAGAATTTAAAGGCTCACTGAAAGAGCTGCTCTCTTACCACTATAGAAGTTGGGGCTGGGAAAGAAGATAAAAGTACTAGATCTGCTTCTGGTGGATAGACCAGGGATTGGCAAACTACAGCTTGTGGGCTAGTTACGTGTTTTTATAAATAAAGTTTTATTAGCGCACAGTCACATCCATTTGTTTATGTTTTGCCTGTGACTGCTTTTGTGCTATGAAGGCAGATTGACTGGTTTTGACAAAGACTGTATGGCCTACAGAGTCTAAAATATTTTCTCTCTGGCCCTGTAATAGAGTTTGCCGTATATAAACTATAGTATCATGACTACATAATGTGTGCAGTTTGTTTAGTTTTGGTTGTTTAAGGAAAATGCTAATCATATAGTAGGGTCATTGAAAGAAGAGTCTTTCTGCCTAATATTGCTAATCCATGTCCTTGTGTGTCTGTTCCAGGATCTGTCTGGTTCAATAGACGATCTCCCCATGGGGACAGAAGGAGCTCTGAGCCCTGGAGTGAGCACATCAGGGATTTCCAGCAGCCAAGGGGAGCAGAGTAATCCAGCTCAGTCTCCTTTCTCTCCCCATACCTCCCCTCACCTGCCTGGCATTCGAGGCCCCTCCCCGTCGCCTGTTGGCTCTCCTGCCAGTGTTGCTCAGTCTCGCTCAGGACCACTCTCGCCTGCTGCAGTGCCAGGTACTCTCCAGTACAGGGCTTTGGGGAGGGAGAAAAGGGACTGGCCCCCAGCAATATCAAAGAGCCCTAACCTTCCACTGGCAGAGAGTTTCCCTTCAGCATTTGAAGAAGGGAGATGGGAGCCCTTTGGCTGGATGCCTCTGTGTAATACCGGGAGGTGCTTGGCCTTCCCAGGAGCTGTTTCCAGTTCTTGCTTGACCTTCTAGCTAAAATTTCCAGGCTTAGCCAAGATCGGCTTACTTCTTTCTCTGTCTGGAGCAGGCAACCAGATGCCACCTCGGCCTCCCAGTGGCCAGTCAGACAGCATCATGCATCCTTCTATGAACCAATCAAGCATTGCCCAAGATCGAGGTGAGAGCCTGGGCTTCAAGGGAGGGGTGGAGGGCAAAGACAGACCTTTGACTGTGATTATCTGTGTAACAGCTTTTGGAGAACTGTATGACCATGAAACTTAGAGGACAATCTCAGCAACAGATTATGAAGTTAGAATGGGCTTGGCCATGTTGGTAGCTCCAGAATGATGTTCCCTCACAGTCATTCTTTGTTGTTCTTGTGTTTTGATGAATTCCCTGCTACATTATGCCTAATTTTGGTCAACAAATACTGAATACTCAGCATTAAATCTTTACCCGTTAAATCCTACTTTTTTTTTTTTGTCATTACTATTTGTTCTTCAAACCTCTATTTTGTAGAAACAGTTGACATGCCCTTGTTAATGGCTGTGTCATTTTTGGGGGTGCCTAAAATGGCACGTAATTGTATAGCAGATAAGATGGAGACTTTATGCAAGTATCTGCTAAAGAAAATGTAGATAGTAAAGTCCTAGGATAAAGGAGAGCATTTGTTCCCATTGTACAAAGGTAATAACCCTATGGACACTATCCATAAATAGGTTACATGCAGAGGAACCCCCAGATGCCCCAGTACAGTTCCCCACAGCCTGGCTCAGCCTTATCTCCACGTCAGCCTTCTGGAGGACAGATGCACGCAGGCATGGGCTCCTACCAGCAGAACTCCATGGGGAGCTATGGTCCCCAGGGGAGTCAGTACGGCCCACAGGGTGAGTATACTACCCAGGTAGGAGTACATGGAGGTGAGATGAGAAAAGAGTTCTGTTTGATGTGTTGCTATCTGGGTTATAAGAATAGGACTGTCCTTTGCCTTAAATTGACCAAGGTCAGGCCCTAAAATGAGGCAGGGCGGCCACCATGGGAAAGTCCTTGAATGTTCCTGAGCCTCTGTTTCATCTGTAAAATGGAGATAAGGTATTTAGGCCAAGACTGAGCATGGGCACTTAATAAATGGTAATTACTAGTTATTACTTTTTTTTTTTTTTTAGTAAATTAGTCCTAACAGAATAAATCTTTGCTCAAAATGAGCTGTAGGTGGATCTAAAACTGAGTGTCTTAACACAGATCATGGGAGATGAATGTGTAGAAAGGAAAGAATTCTGGGAGTTGAAGAGCCTGGATAGCAGCAAACCCAGCCTTGCCTGCCAGCCAGCCTTGCCCTGTGCTGTGCTGTCTGTAAGATGAGGGGACAACGGAGACCTGCCTTTATATGTTTGTGGCCCCCCTTTACTTTTTTTTCATGGACCATGAAGTTGTTTGTTTTTTAAAGACCATGAAGTTGGTCTCATTCCAGACTAATTATTAAACCATTCCCATTATTACCTTTAGAGTTTTAGAATTGAGCTAAGTTAGCCAGTTGCTAGTAAGTCACTAATCAAGTCTCTGCATCTTCTCTCTTTCCCCACCCAGGAGGCTACCCTAGGCAGCCGAACTATAATGCCTTGCCCAATGCTAACTACCCCAGTGCAGGCATGGCTGGAAGCATGAATCCTATGGGTGCTGGAGGTCAGATGCATGGGCAGCCTGGCATCCCACCTTATGGCACACTCCCTCCAGGAAGAATGAGTCACACCTCCATGGGCAACCGGCCTTATGGCCCCAACATGGCCAATATGCCACCTCAGGTTGGGTCAGGGATGTGTCCCCCACCAGGGGGCATGAACCGGAAAACTCAAGAAACTGCTGTCGCCATGCATGTTGCTGCCAACTCTATCCAAAACAGGTAAGGCCTTGGAAGTGAAGAGGTTATCAGTGTAAGAAAACAAACTGTAGAGTCATTCAGGTCATTGGGATACTTCTGGACCTAAACCATGTCATCTTGTTAAGTAGATATTTTGTTGAGAGCTCTTTAGAAAACTAGCTTTCCTTACAGTGAAAAACAAAAATGCTGATTTGTAGGCTTCTTAGATTGGTAACAAATTTCACATGACCAGATATCATATGTAAAGAACTTTATAAAACACATTATTTTGATTAATATAAAATAAGTCTTCAGAGTTTCTTCATTTCTTCTGGCAATCTGTTTCTTGGTTTCCAAAAGAATTTTTAATGGTACACATGATTTGGATCTGCGGTGTAAGAAATAGAGAATGATGAGATTGTGGTTTGACATTTCTCCTACTGTTCTGAGTGGTCCTGTGTATTTGACTCTGGTGCAAAAGTGCAGAAGGCTCTTGTGATTTGGTTTAATGACTTTAAGATTCACCTCTTCTTCCTTGGCCACTGACTTCAGTAAATGTGATTCTACTGTTTTGAAGACTGTGCACCCCATTGGTGGTGCCTTCAGTTCTTAAAGTAACTTTTACTGGAATGTTGATGAAGCAAGGTAGAGTAGGGTGATTGACTATAAAGAGGTGAGTTTGGTAGTACTTCAGAATGATGGAAGGGCAAAGTTTGCAGTAGGCCCATCAAGAAAGGATATAAAGCCCCTCCAGGTGTATGCTATGGGGGGTCCAGTTTAGTTGGGGTGACATGACAGAGTGATAAAATTGAGCATTTTAATCTAGGCCTTTAGCCATAGAGAGGGCTCTTAAATGGAATCACAGCTTGACTTTCGAGGGTGCCTTAAAGGGAGGTGGTACTGAAGAGACACAGGGCTCCAGTCTTCAAAGAACATATCCTTTAAAATTGAGCCATGATTTCCTTTTGAGAGCTTGAACCCTCTTAGAACCTTTTGTGGGAGGTAGAAGAGGAGAATATCCTGGGTTTAATCCCCAGTGCGTCCATTAAGAAAAAAAAATTAAAGTTTAAAAAGAAAGAAAGGCTAGGTGCGTGGTTATGGTTTCTGAGACCCACAGACTTTTTCCTTGTGAGCCTAACTCAGTGATCTTGGCTCACAACCCTGTTTAGCTCAAATCCAAATCTGAAAGCTCAGTGTCTCTAACTCACAACTCTCTCTCACACTTTGCATTCTCTTCCTCAGGCCACCAGGCTACCCCAATATGAATCAAGGGGGCATAATGGGAACTGGACCTCCCTATGGACAAGGGATTAATAGTATGGCTGGCATGATCAACCCTCAGGGACCCCCATATCCCATGGGTGGAACCATGGCCAACAATTCAGCAGGTGAGTCCTAGTCATTGCTCACCTTAGGGATTTCTTCCAGCGTGATCTTCATGTCACATATCTACTGGACATTTTTCTCTTATAGGAATGGCAGCCAGCCCAGAGATGATGGGCCTTGGGGATGTCAAGTTAACTCCAGCCACCAAAATGAACAACAAGGCCGATGGGACACCCAAGACAGAATCCAAATCCAAGGTAATGCTGTATATCTTGATGCCTCAATTTTCTGTCTCATAAAAAGATAGGTAAAAGAGAATGATAAAAGAGGGTGACTAGATTCCAGACGTTTATGACACCGACTAGATAATCTTGGAAAAGGCTGCTGTTGCCTCTTCTTACCATGAAGGATCCCAGGTTTGAGTTAGACTAAGGGATCCTAATGTAAATAACAACATTCTCACAGCTGTGTGATACGGAAGAAATGCCAGATCTGCAGTGTAGAATTCTCTGTACAGTGCACTCTGAAACTGTGACCCCTGTCCTCATGCACCGATAGATGATGGATATCATGGGCAACTAGTTACTCTTGCCTTCCTGGACCTTACTTAGAATAGCAGGAATGGTTGGTGCCCTATGTTCTATAAAGGGGGAGAAGAGGCAGGTGGAGTTTGGGTCCTTGGCCTCTCTGTAGGTTGGTCCTGAGTGTGCTATCTGTTGGCATTCTGAGGACCTGCCAGTATTAGAGTCATTTGAAACAGTCCCACCCTTTGTCATACCTCATTTTCCCTATCTTATAAAGTAGGAAATAAAGATCATAGCTGCCACCTCCTGTGGACCTTCACCTCTGACTTCTAGACCCCTTTAGTCATCCTCCTGTCTTGGCTAGGGTAATATCCAAAGCCACTCAAGCAGGTGGGAGACTCCTCCTTTCTTGAGAGAAGGAAGTTTCTTTTCATTTTAGTCCATTGTCTTGAGATCATGTTTTGAGTTTTCTTGAGTTATCTGAAATAGTCTATGAAAGTGTGTCCAGGCTCCTGGGTAGTAATGTGGGAGTAGTAGTGACATTGATGTCAGGTGGATAAGGGTCTTATAAGGGAAGAATAATTTATAACACCTGATGTGTAAAGGCATCTAGCACAACACTCAATTCATAATGTATAGTCAGTGTTAGCTTCCTTCCTTTATAGGACGGTCTAGCTCCCTTTTGGTTTTTGTGAAGGCAGGGGCAGATGTTAGTGACCAACCCAGAATAAGAAGCTTTACCACTGCCCTAATCAAGGGACTTCTAAGACCCTTAGCATAGGTTTTGAATCTGACCAGTTCCTGTGACTCTTGACCTGCCCCTTCCAGAAATCCAGTTCTTCTACTACAACCAATGAGAAGATCACCAAGTTGTATGAGCTGGGTAGTGAGCCTGAAAGGAAGATGTGGGTGGACCGTTACCTGGCCTTCACGGAGGAGAAGGCCATGGGCATGACAAATCTGCCTGCTGTGGGTAGGAAACCTCTGGACCTGTATCGCCTCTATGTGTCTGTGAAGGAGATTGGTGGATTGACTCAGGTGAGTACCTTGCACCTGGCTTCCCCTGTGGTTTCAACAAGTCTCTCTCTAGGTACTCAGTGGCTTCACTGGTACCATGCATCCCACAGGCATATCACCCTCTCCTGCTGAGTTACATACTGACAGACCAGGGAGCTCGGGGCTTCTAGAATATAAGGCAAAGGGAGGAGGCTAACACCTCTGTGGGTAGTATGAAGTATTAACATTAAGTTTACTGTGTGTCCAGAGTCCCCCTGGGGAGCAAAAATAGAACAAGTCAGTGGGCATTCTGATTCCATGGCAGGCAGTTTGGCATAGTAGACAAGGGCAGGGTTCAGAGACATGGGTCTGGTTTTGAATTCTTTCTTAGCACACAATGTGTGGCCCGTAATTAAGGTATATAACCACTCTGAGCCCTATTTTTCTTATTTGTAAGGGAGGGTCAGTATGTACCCTGCTAGACTGTCAGAAACTAGAAATAAGCAAAGCTGGTAGAAAGATTTCTGCCACATAAGTTGGCCTGCAAGATGGTACAAGGGCAGCCAGTGTAGTTGTTGATCCTTTCATTCTAAGAAGCTTCCCAATGGAAGTGGGATTTCAGGAGCTATTTAATAGGAATAGTTTATGAAAGAAGTAGGTGGGAAGTTGTGCTTAGTTACTCTGTATGGGAGACTTAAGTGAATGGATTAACCTCTGCTGAAAACCTCTGAACTGACCACCATCGTGAGCCTTCCCCGTCCTCATACCTTACATCTTTGCTTTACACTCAGCCCAGGATGCAAACAAGTGAAGCAACACTGGCAGACAGCACACTGTGCTTTGCAAACTTTCCTCCTGTGTATGTTCTGTAGTCATTACCAGGAGCCTGCTATTAGATCTGAGTTTGTGGCTGAGCTCAGGGGGAGGTGTGGTGGGGAGGGCTGTATTACAAACCTTCTAAATCAGAAAAGGAAAACAGCTGTCACCAGTAGAAAAGAAAATGATTGGAATGAAGCCAACCAGCAGTCAGTTATGAATTCCTTCTCCCTTAGGCTTTATTCCCCTCCCCCACAAAGGAAAACAAAACGTAACAAGACACGTGCACACTGCCACATAACTGGCGTGGGAAGCAAAGCCATAGAAGGCTTCTTAGGTGACCCTCGGCTCATTCCTGCCATTCTCCCTGATGTTGAGTTCTCATAGTCCTCTCCTACCTGTAGGGAAAGGGGGTGCATTGGGTTAGGTTTAAAATAGTTTTGATTACGTAGGTTTCTGGATTCACTGGACCTAGGATGAGGTGTAGAAGGAATCCCAAAGCTTGGGTCTGTCTTCCAGTTTGCAAAAGGCTGTTATCCTTTTAGATGCTATGATGTGGTTGAACTCTAAAGACAGTTCAGAGGAGAAAGAGTGCTGTTATAAGTTAGGTTGTGAAGGTGCCAAGAAAGCAGAAGATGAATCGTGAGCTTTTCTGAAGGATTAGTAGGGTTTAGGTAGAGGGAGGGGCCAAGCCAGTTGACTGGCCCAGATGGCATGGAGATAGGAAAGGGTCTGGAATATACCCTACTAATGCTGCCTCCAACCTTCAAGAGTCAGCTCAGATGTTACCTGCTCTAGGAAGTGTTCCTGGTCGTCTCCCCTCCATTTAGGTTGTTCCTCTCTTTGCTTCTTCATCACTCTTCTCTCTGGTGTCACAGGTGCCAGATCAGCAGGTATCAAAACATTGAACTCCTTGTGGATTGGGACTGGAAAGCCAGTTTTTCTAGCCCTTGAGAGACAGGCTTACCACATGGTGGATGAATAAACATAAGAATACATGAAGAAGGAGACCTGCCTGGCTAAAGCAGAAAGACTAATTGTGGGGATTGGGGACTGGTCTTGATCAGTGTATTCTGAAGCTGAGGAAAGGAGGCAGAACTATAGGCTGGCCACTGGGAAGGTACAAAAGAAGTCAAGGGGCCTGAAGCATCTCCTGGACAATCAAGACAGCGACTGGTGAGGGAGAGGGGCTTGTAGTTATATGTCACTGAGATGCAGGGAGCAGTGACACAGAATGTCAAATTTGCAAGGAACCCCACACTGAAGAAAAAATCAGATATGAAAACCACCAGTTTGACAAAGTAAGTCAAGTAGGGTGGTCGTTGATAATGCCAAAGGTCTCCATTTTATAAAATGTTAGGTTTTTTTGTTTGTTTTTTGAGGGGGAGTGGGGAAGTGATTAGGTTTATTTATTTATTTACTTTTTAGAGGAAGTACTGGGGATTGAACCCACATCGTGCATGCTAAGCACGCACTCTACTACTTGAGCTATACCCTCCCCCTTAAGGTGTTAGTTTTTATGAGTGCATTTAAAATATGATTTTGATTTGATGGTGATCTGCACATCATTTTTCAATAGTACACTTGTGTAAAGCAAAGCCCATACATTCTGAATTCTGTTATCTCTGATTGATAGTGATGTGAAGTTTGCCCCATTTTGAATAAGCACTGTCTGGTAGTTACAGTGATCTGTGGATAAAGCCTGCTGGGGTAGAGGGAAACCATGAATTTAATGTTCGTTGTTGTGGACTATCCACCAAGTGAGGTTAACTTTTGTGGTTAACTGAGAACTGATTTCACAAGATGAATACGTAGTAGCCTCATGGGGTATGAGGTTTGGGGTTTGTGGGCAGGAAAACCAGATGGAAGATGCACCCCAAATCTTCTGGTTGTTTGTGCAGGTCAACAAGAACAAAAAATGGCGGGAACTTGCGACCAACCTCAATGTCGGCACCTCAAGCAGTGCTGCCAGCTCCTTAAAAAAGCAGTACATCCAGTGTCTCTATGCCTTTGAGTGCAAGATTGAACGGGGAGAAGACCCTCCCCCAGACATCTTTGCAGCTGCTGATTCCAAGAAGTCCCAGCCCAAGATCCAGCCTCCCTCTCCTGGTAAGGATTGGGTGAGCAGCCTCATCAAGGCTTACCCTTCAAGGGTAGCATTCAAGGGTCCAGACTCCTTACTCACCAGTGCCTGCCACCAGGGGTGTGTGCCCTGCCCTGTCCTATCTCAGAACTTAACAGGTTTGCAAACTAAAGAGTGGGCAGTGGCAACTCCCTTGGGAGGTAGTCTGCAGCAGCCCTTAAGTTTTAATTTTCATTGTGCACCTGGCATCTTGCCAAGTGTTTGTAAACTAGTAAGTGGGAGGGACACCAGCGGAGTAGGGAAATCTGACAAATAGCAGTGAGGCAGGGCCATCTGGGAGCTTTGGCCCACTGATGTCAGCGCCTTAGAATGCAGCTCAGACAGAACCCTGAATTCCCCAGGGAGCTGAGATGGTAATGAATGGGAAGGAGGGGGTGGGGAGGGAATATGAATGGAACTCTCTGCTGGGAGTGCCTCTGCCCACCCTCCTTTCTGAGAGGAGGATGGGGCCTGGACAGGCATGGGGAGGAAAGAAGGCCAGAGCTCCTAGAAGGTGGGTGTAAACACATGTGCCCTGGTGTTGACCTCTGAGGGTGTAATGAATGCCTGAGATGACTCATCAGCTGGGGAGGCCTAAGCAGTGGGATATCTGCTGCTGGGAATGGTAACTAATGGAAATATTAATTACTGGTAGTTCTGTGCTCATCAGTTTAAAGGAACTTTCAAACCTAAGTGGTGATACTGTACTGGATGCTTGAGAATAGGAGTTCCTAGGCTCCTAAAGTGCTCTGCAGGTTTGGGGCAAGATGGAGCCTTCCCAGCCAGCATTCCAGGGCCTCTGACTGGGAGCTTGTGTACCAGCTTGTGTACAGGGTTTAACAGGTTAGATATAGGTCCTTGGGGAAGTAAAGAGTAGTCAGAGAAGCTGACATAGACCCAAGGACTCACCAGCATGCTGATGGCCACCATACCATTCCTGTTCTCCAGATATGAAAGCAGCAAGGAGTGCTGGAGCCCTCAAATTGCCTTCTTTATTACCTGGCCTTGCAGATCCCCTGCTGAGGAGGACGATTTAGGTTTAAAGAACCCCAGCTCTAGCCTTAGCGATCTTTTTCAAAGAGATCCCAGGGCATTTGTGTGTTTCTGAGAGAGTTAAATCCTTTCCTGCTCATCCTACATCTCTCTCCACAGCAGGATCAGGGTCAATGCAGGGGCCACAGACACCTCAGTCAACCAGCAGTTCCATGGCAGAAGGAGGAGACCTGAAGCCACCAACTCCAGCATCCACACCACACAGCCAGATCCCCCCCTTGCCAGGCATGAGGTAAGGCTAGGAGCAGAGGCAGGTGGTTTGGGGGATCCTGAGCAAAAATAAATGTGCTCCTGTGCAGCTCAGGGTGGTCCCTGCTCTGCCTGCCCAGCCAGTGACTCCCAGGCGCCTTGCATTATCAGAGGAATTGCTTTCTTTGGGGTCTAATTCGCTTTTTCTCACTCTTGAGCAGGAGCAATTCTGTCGGGATCCAGGATGCCTTTCCTGATGGAAGTGACCCCACATTCCAGAAGCGGAATTCCATGACTCCAAACCCTGGGTACCAGCCCAGTATGAATACCTCTGACATGATGGGGCGCATGTCCTATGAGCCAAATAAGGATCCTTATGGCAGCATGAGGAAAGGTGACCAATTGCTGTTGGCCTTACACCCTTGAGGACAGGGCCAGGGAAATGGGGGGATATCTTGAGAGTGGTTTGAGGTTCTTGTCAAGCCATCCTCTGAGATAAGGCATTTCTGGACCTAACCACCCCTCTTCATCCTCTTTTCATGTCTCCCTCTCCCTGGCCTCACCTTGTCACCCCTTTGCAAGTATGTGTACTTTGCTGGTTGGGGCCTCTTTAGATCTCTGTTTCAAACCTGTCAGGAAAACAGTTGCAACAAACTTGAGCTCTGAAGAGGGCCTGGGTCTTTGGGGCAAGCAAGGTATAGGTTGCTAGGCCTGCTAACTGACGAGTTTGCTCACTGCTTTCCCTTTTGCTCTCAGCTCCAGGGAGTGATCCCTTCATGTCCTCAGGGCAGGGCCCCAACGGCGGGATGGGGGACCCCTATAGTCGAGCTGCCGGCCCTGGGCTGGGAAATGTGGCGATGGGACCGCGACAGCACTATCCCTATGGAGGTCCTTATGACAGAGTGAGGTAAGCATGGCCCCCGCTCCTGTCCCACGCTAGCACCCCACAGCTGTCAGGGACTACTCAACCTGCTTCTCCAATTTTGTTTAGGACGGAGCCTGGAATAGGACCCGAGGGAAACATGGGCACTGGAGCCCCACAGCCGAATCTCATGCCTTCCAACCCAGACTCGGGGATGTATTCTCCTAGCCGTTACCCCCAACAGCAGCAGCAGCAGCAGCAGCAGCAACGGTGAGTAAAGCCTGGTCTCAGTGCTTCTGTGTCTCGAGCTTTTCCGCTTACCACCCTAATCCTGTTTCTTTCCTTTCTGCAGACATGATTCCTATGGCAATCAGTTTTCCGCTCAAGGCACCCCTTCCGGCAGCCCCTTCCCCAGCCAGCAGACCACAATGTATCAGCAGCAGCAGCAGGTGAGGAGGGCAGTGGGTGGGCTGACACACAGTTTCCTTCTGAGAGCCAATTAGTTAGAAAACTAAGTTGAGAAGTCTAAGAAGCCTGCTTTAGATATTTTGGTGGTGTTCTCCCACTCTAATAGCCAGTTTTGTGAGTCAAGTCCTCACTCTTCCCTGTTTCAAGTCTAGTCCAGTCTCTAGTTCTCCAAAAGGGTTAGAAACAGGCCTTGTTTTGACTTTTGAACTTCTCCACATTTTTCTGCTTAGAGCATGGGAGAGCGAGAGAGGAATAAAGAATGATTCTTGCTTTCAGAAACAACTTGAAAAGATAATTTGTAAAGATGACTCCTTTGTTCCCTTGGAGTCTCTGTCCTCTCTTCTAGAGGGTCAGAAGTAAGCCCAGCAAGTGTCTAGTGTAGCCCTCTTGGCAGCTGTGGATCTTGTGTCCCTGAGTGCGGAATATTAACTTCCCCTGTGCTTGTCCCTGTCTTAGAATTACAAGCGGCCAATGGATGGCACATATGGCCCTCCTGCCAAGCGGCACGAAGGGGAGATGTACAGCGTGCCATACAGCACGGGGCAGGGGCAGCCCCAGCAGCAGCAGTTGCCCCCAGCCCAGCCCCAGCCTGCCAGCCAGCAACAAGCTGCTCAGCCTTCCCCTCAGCAAGATGTGTACAACCAGTATGGCAACGCCTATCCTGCCACTGCCGCCGCTGCTACTGAGCGCCGACCAGCAGGCGGCCCCCAGAACCAGTTTCCATTCCAGTTTGGCCGAGACCGTGTCTCAGCACCCCCCGGCTCCAATGCCCAGCAGAACATGCCACCGCAAATGATGGGCGGCCCCATACAGGCATCAGCTGAGGTTGCTCAGCAGGGCACCATGTGGCAGGGGCGTAATGACATGACCTACAATTACGCCAACAGGCAGAGCACAGGCTCTGCCCCCCAAGGCCCTGCCTATCATGGAGTGAACCGAACAGATGAAATGCTGCACACGGATCAGAGGGCCAACCATGAAGGCCCATGGCCTTCCCATGGCACACGCCAGCCCCCATATGGTCCTTCTGCCCCCGTGCCTCCCATGACAAGGCCCCCTCCATCCAACTACCAGCCCCCACCAAGCATGCAGAATCACATTCCTCAGGTATCCAGCCCTGCTCCCCTGCCCCGGCCAATGGAGAACCGCACCTCTCCTAGCAAGTCTCCATTCCTGCACTCTGGGATGAAGATGCAGAAGGCAGGTCCCCCAGTACCTGCCTCGCACATAGCACCTACCCCTGTGCAGCCCCCTATGATTCGGCGGGACATCACCTTCCCACCTGGCTCTGTTGAAGCCACACAGCCTGTGTTGAAGCAGAGGAGGCGGCTCACAATGAAAGACATCGGTAAGGAGGCCTCCCTGACTAGGTTGCTTAATCTGCCCCTTTGCATCTTGTTCATTGTTCTGTCTCCATCCTGGTGTTCTGGATGAGTTAAAATCTGGTCCAGTGTTGACTAAAATAGAGCAAAGAACTTTGGGTAAGGAAGAAATCAGCTGATGTCAGGCTTTACTAAAGGAATCGCCATGCCATGATGTCCTAACAGAGCCTAGAAGCCATGAGGGGCAGATGTGTGTCATCTCCCAGATGGGAACCACTTCCCGCCATGTGTTCTTCTCAGAGTAGCCTGACTGATGAGCCAGCTCTGGGGTGGGGAGCTCCAGCCAACCTGGGTTTGGTGGATGGACGACATGGAGGTTTATTTCAGGAACCCCAGAGGCATGGCGGGTAATGATGTCCCTCAAGTCTGGGCTGCTGGCAGAGAGTACGTGGGCATTAGACACCATTAACATCCTGCTGTATGATGACAACAGCATCATGACCTTCAACCTCAGTCAGGTGAGTACAGGTGCCGGGGGAGGATTGAGAGGGCCTGGGATCTTCTTGAAGTCGATGGTGCTAAGTGACACAGGGAATTAAGCCATCCCTGGCCAGCTTGGTCTCTCCATCACTTGCTCTGTGATACCTTCTATGCCAGTACTTTTATTCAATGCCAGTACTTTGCCTCTGGACATGGGCCCAGAATACTGAGAACAATAATAATTTGTGTAATTAAGTTAATCAGGATTAACTTGAAAGAGAATTTAGGAGAAACATTTTGGTATTGGTAAGAAATGCAGATTCTGTTGATGATAGTGAAGACACTATTTTCTAGACTACCAAGAAGAACCTGTGGTCTATATTAGTGACCAGAGCAGGTTCTTTATTTTCCCTTTCTTTCTTCATCCACTCTGAACAGAAGAGGTCTTTGTTGATCCCACTTTCCTAAGTTGTAGAGTGGGAGGTGTACAGAGGTGCACTTTGGCGGAGGGTGGAGGGGTGTTAATGATGACCTTGCAGAGATGATTTTCCAGACCCTCTCTCCGCAGGACATGCACCTTGAATTCTCTCAGCTGGGAAGAGTTTCTTCTGCACCATCCTGCTGTTTCTTTTATCATCCTCAGTACCTACCAACCTGTCTATCAAGGAGTTGAAACTAGGGGGCATTGTTATTAATAGTTACCATTTACTGTGCCCTCGCTTTGTACTAGGTCTGTCATAATTTCTTTTGTGTCATCATCACAACAGCCTTCTGAGGCAGATGTGGCCACTTAGAGATGAGTAAATAGGCTCAGAGTCTTAACTTTGCTCAGGTTCACACAGCTGTTAGCAGAGTCTTTCTGATTCAAAAGTCTGCCTCCTATTAGAAGGAAAAGGGACAAATATTGACTGAGCAATTTCTGTAAGCCAGGCTCTTGACATACTCCATTTAGATCTCAAAACAACCCTGTAAAGTTTAGGAATTTCCATTATTTTCAATGGAAAGATGGAAAAACTCCAGCTTAGAGAGTTTAAGTTAAACAGATAGTTCCTGGAAAAGTCATAATTCAAACCTAGATCTTTTTAACTCTAAAGCCCTGTTTTTTCCTTTCTGCTGTACTGTGCAGCCAGAGATTAATCAGACTGGAGGTTAATGTTTTCTTCTAGGGGTAAATGGCCTATCTAGGATCTAAGCTGGAATGTGGGTCTGTCTAGCACCAGCTTGGAACAATGTTTGGAGAACCTAAGCCTCATCCTATTCATTACATTGCATGATGCACAGAGAGAGGTACAGCCTCCTGGAATGTTGGGGAGCTTGGAGAAGAGAGCAGATGAACATCTGTGCACTGTTAATTCCCTCTCTCAGCTCATGTTGGAAGGTGTCATCCCACCATGCCTAGGCTTGGGCTCCACTTGGCAGTGGGATATAGAGAGTGTCTTAAAAGGGACAGTGACAGTGACCAACGGGTAGGAAACTGGGCCTGGTGAAGAAAAGCAGAAATTTGTTGAGAAAAAGTCTGAGAGATGAGTGGCACTGGTAGGTGAGATGCAGAGTTGTTGGTCAGTGTTTCCATCCTGCAGGTTTGTGTGAAGATAGGTTGGGCGGAAGGAAGAACTTTGTGCTAGGCAGAGGAGAGTTTAAACGACTTGCCTCGTGGAGAGCCTTTGGGAAAGGAGAACTCTGACTCTCTCTGTGATACAGATGTCTGACTTAGAAGGAAAGTGGGGGAGATTAGATAGATGACCTTGGTAGGTCTCTCAAGTCAAGGATTCTCTTAGCTCACTTTTCTCCCTTAATTTGTTTCCTGTTCTTTCTCTTTTAGCTCCCAGGGTTGCTAGAGCTCCTTGTGGAATACTTCCGACGTTGCCTGATTGAGATCTTTGGCATTTTAAAGGAGTACGAGGTGGGTGACCCAGGACAGAGAACACTACTGGACCCTGGGAGATACAGCAAAGTGTCTAGTCCAGCCCCTGTGGAGGAGGAGGAGGAGGAGGAGGAAGACCTTCTAGGTCCTAAACTAGAGGAGGAAGAGGAGGAGGAAGTAATTGAAAATGATGAAGAGATGGCCTTTTCGGGCAAGGACAAGGCAGCCCCAGAGAATAGTGAGGAGAAACTGATTAGTAAGTTTGACAAGCTTCCAGTAAAGATCGTACAGAAGAATGACCCATTTGTGGTGGACTGCTCAGATAAGCTTGGGCGTGTGCAGGAGTTTGACAGTGGCCTGCTGCACTGGCGGATTGGTGGGGGGGACACCACTGAGCATATCCAGACCCACTTTGAGAGCAAGACAGAGCTGCTGCCTACCCGGCCTCATGTGCCCTGCCCACCAGTCACCCGGAAGTATGCAGCGGTAGAAGGTACACCAGGGACAGCAGAGCAGGAGGGCCCCCCACCTGATGGCCCTCCAGAAAAACGGATCACAGCCACTATGGATGACATGTTGTCAACCCGGTCTAGCACGTTGACCGAGGAGGGAGCTAAGAGTGTAGAGGCCACCAAGGAAAGCAACAAGTTTCCATTTGGCATCAGCCCAGCACAGAGCCACCGGAACATCAAGATCCTAGAGGATGAACCCCACAGTAAAGATGAGACCCCACTGTGTACCCTTCTGGACTGGCAGGATTCCCTTGCCAAGCGCTGCGTCTGTGTCTCCAATACCATCCGAAGCCTGTCATTTGTACCAGGCAACGACTTTGAGATGTCCAAACACCCGGGGCTGCTGCTGATCCTCGGCAAGCTGATCCTTCTGCACCACAAGCACCCAGAACGGAAGCAGGCACCACTAACTTATGAGAAGGAGGAGGAGCAGGACCAAGGGGTGAGCTGCAACAAAGTGGAGTGGTGGTGGGACTGCTTGGAGATGCTTCGGGAAAACACCTTGGTCACGCTTGCCAACATCTCGGGGCAGTTGGACCTCTCCCCATACCCTGAGAGCATTTGCCTGCCTGTCCTGGACGGACTCCTACACTGGGCAGTCTGCCCTTCAGCTGAAGCCCAGGACCCCTTCTCCACTCTGGGCCCCAACGCCGTCCTCTCCCCCCAGAGACTGGTCTTGGAAACCCTCAGCAAACTCAGCATCCAGGACAACAATGTGGACCTGATTCTGGCCACGCCCCCCTTCAGCCGCCTGGAGAAGTTGTATAGCACCATGGTGCGCTTCCTCAGTGACCGAAAGAACCCGGTATGCCGGGAGATGGCCGTAGTACTGCTGGCCAACCTGGCACAGGGTGACAGCCTGGCAGCCCGAGCCATTGCAGTGCAGAAGGGCAGCATCGGCAACCTCCTGGGCTTCCTGGAGGACAGTCTTGCTGCCACACAGTTCCAGCAGAGCCAAGCCAGCCTGCTCCACATGCAGAACCCGCCCTTTGAGCCAACTAGTGTGGACATGATGCGACGGGCTGCCCGTGCACTGCTGGCCCTGGCCAAGGTGGACGAGAACCACTCAGAGTTCACGCTGTACGAGTCACGGCTGTTGGACATCTCGGTATCACCGTTGATGAACTCATTGGTTTCACAAGTCATTTGTGATGTACTGTTTTTGATTGGCCAGTCATGACAGCCGTGGGACACCTCCCTCCCTGTGTGTGTGTGCGTGTGTGGAGAACTTAGAAACTGACTGTTGCCCTTTATTTATGCAAAACCACCTCAGAATCCAGTTTACCCTGTGCTGTCCAGCTTCTCCCTTGGGAAAAAAGTTTCTCCTGTTTCTCCTTCCTCCTCTTCCTCCCCCCTCCCTCCCTCTTACCTTTCTATTCCCTGTCCTCACTTTATCCCCCTCAGGACCCTACCCTATTTGAAAAGACAAAGCTCTGCCTACATAGAAGATTTTTTTATTTTAACCAAAGTTACTGTCGTTTACAGTGAGTTTGGGGAAAAAAAAATAAAATAAAAATGGCTTTCCCGGTCCTTGCATCAACGGGATGCCACATTTCATAACTGTTTTTAATGGTAAAAAAAAAAAAGGAAAAAAATACAAAAAAAAAAACCTGAAGGACAAAAATGGTGACTGCTGAACTGTGTGTGGTTTATTGTTGTACATTCACAATCTTGCAGGAGCCGAGAAGTTCGCAGTTGTGGACAGACCCTGTTCACTGGAGAGGCCTGTGCAGTAGAGTGTAGACCCTTTCATGTACTGTACTGTACACCTGATACTGTAAACATACTGTAATAATAATGTCTCACATGGAAACAAGAGAAAATGCTGGGTCAGCAGCAAGCTGTAGTTTTTAAAAATGTTTTTAGTTAAACGTTGAGGAGAAAAAAAAAAGGCTTTTCCCCCAAAGTATCATGTGTGAACCTACAACACCCTGACCTCTTTCTCTCCTCCTTGATTGTATGAATAACCCTGAGATCACCTCTTAGAACTGGTTTTAACCTTTAGCTGCAGCGACTGCGCTGCCACGTGTGTATATATATGACGTTGTACATTGCACATACCCTTGGATCCCCACAGTTTGGTCCCTCTCCCAGCTACCCCTTTATAGTATGACGAGTTAACAAGTTGGTGACCTGCACAAAGCGAGACACAGCTATTTAATCTCTTGCCAGACATCGCCCCTCTTGGCGTGATGCTGTACAGGTCTCTGTAAAAAGTCCTTGCTGTCTCAGCAGCCAATCAACTTATAGTTTATTTTTTTCTGGGTTTTTGTTTTGTTTTGTTTTGTTTTCTTTCTAATCGAGGTGTGAAAAAGTTCTAGGTTCAGTTGAAGTTCCTGATGAAGAAACACAATTGAGATTTTTTCAGTGATAAAATCTGCATATTTGTATTTCAAACAATGTAGCTAAAACTTGATGTAAATTCCTCCTTTTTTCCTTTTTTGGCTTAATGAATATCATTTATTCAGTATGAAATCTTTATACTATATGTTCCACGTGTTAAGAATAAATGTACATTAAATCTTGGTAAGACGTTTGTAAGGCTCTTTATTGTTTTCAAACTATTTAAAAGCTTGGGGGGGAGGGTATAGCTCAAGTGGTAGGGTGCATGCTTAGCATGCATGAGGTCCTGGGTTCAATCCCCAGTACCTCCTCTAAGAATAAAATCAAGAATAAACCTAAATACCTACCCCCACCAGAACAAAAAAACAAAAAAACAAACAAAAAAAATTAAAATATTAAAAAAAAATAAAAGCTTGACCTTTTGGGGATGTTGGGGAACTGGTCCTGTTCTTGCAAATCTCCCTTGACATGCTCTCTCCCTAAATGGTAGCTTCCTGGATCCTGTCATTTCTGCAGTGTATTCCACTTGACTTTCCACAGTATAAGTCTAAATTTAAGAAAACCTCTGAGATGATTTCATCTGCAAGAGGAAGTTCTAGGCATAAAAAGCTTGTTAGGCTCTTGAGATAAAGCCAAAGAAATTGGTGATACTCTAGAAATTGTTGGCAAAGGGAGGGTCTTTTCCTTAGAAATTTTTAAGAGTAAGACAACCATTTATCTGGAGGCAGCCTCCAACTAAACCGTCTATTTCTCCAGACTGGCTCTCTCCCCTGATTCCAGATTAGAGCATCAGCTGCTTTCTTGACATCTTTGCTTGGAAGTTTAATTTGAACATTCCCAGGCTAAAATGCCCTGTCCTCCCCTAGAAACCCCCTTCTCTGTAGATTTCTCAGTATGTGGCAACTTACTTGTTGCTTTGGCTTGGCCAAAAACATCCTGGACTCCTTTCATTTCCGTATCTAGAAGTGTTATCACTCTTCAAAACATAATCTTCAGTTCAACTACTGCCACTGTAGTTCAAGATGCTTACTTTATCCTATCTTTCTTGAACTCTTGAAATACTCTCCAAATTGGCCTCCCTGCTGCTGCTTCGCCTGGTTGAACCTGTTCTCAACATAGCAACAAGAATGCTCCCTTTAAAACCTAAAATCAAAATCCTTCAGTGCTTTTCACTCAAATGTCCAGATCCTTCTAATGAACTGTGAAGCCCTCAGTTATCTTGCTGTTCTCCCTGGTCCCCTTTTCTCTCTTCCGATTGCTCATTCCACCATACAGGACTATTTCCACCTTGGGACCTTTGCACTTACTGTCCCCTCTGTTCAGAATACTCTTTCACCAGATAATTGCATGGCTCAAGTCCTCACTTCTTTCAGGTTTTTGTTCAAATATCATCTCTGTAAATCTTTCCCTGGCTATCTTATTTAAAATAGCAATCTGCCTTATATCCCTTATTTCCCCTGCCTTATTTTCCTTTATAGCACTTGTTACCATCTGACTTACTGTATATTGTACTTACCTATTGTCTTCCACTGTAATTAATGTAAGTTCTCTGAGGTCGGGGGTTTATTTTGTTCGTTGCTATATCCCTGGCCTACAGCACAGCCAGGCACATAGTAGCCACTGACTAAGCAGTCGTTGGATGAAATGGTAGTTGTTGGCCAGATGCAGTTACTTTTATAAGGCTAATGTTGCAAAATAACTTCTGTTCGTTTCCTTCCTTAGTAAACAATGGGAAAACCAGAAGCAGAAACAGAAAATACTATTAATGTGGACACTTAAAAGTGAAACTTGAAATAGCAGCTTTCTATTGAGTACCTACTTGTGTACCTGACACGGTACATCAAACAATCCCACAATAGTCCTGTGCCTGTGAGGTCAGTATTCTGGCTCCCATTTTATAGTTGAGGGAAGCATCTTGTTTGAGGTCACACACAAAGCAAGGTCCCCCTGGCTCCAAAGTCCATGCTCTTCCTAATGCCACACTGCACTTCCTTCCAGGATTGGAGGACAATCAGGAATAATGATCTAGCTGTGGAGCACAGCAGACAAGATTTGTTTCTGTTGTATTTAGCATGAGGTAAAATTGTCCCAAGAACTTCAAGTATTCATCAAACTAATTGTGCTTGTTAATATTTGGGTCAGGGACAGGAATTAATAATTTGTATTTCTCCATTGAGAGAGGGGGAAATAGAAACACTGTCTAACCTCTGTCAGCTAAGATGCATACCTAGGACTCTTGTGGAAAAAACTACATGGCAAGCTCTTATATCTATATTTTGGTAATTTTGCTAATGGCTATTTTTGCTCTAGGCCTCTTAAGTCTAGAAAGTGCATTTCTGGGCTGTGTGTGGAGCATTACCTAGGAGTTTGGTTTCCCGGGTTCCTTTCATCTGCTCTCCTGCAATGCAGGGGGAGCTTAGCCTGGTCTCCAGTTTATGACTGGAGTTATCACAGGCAGAAAGAACTGCTAGCCACTGAGCTGTGAGTAATTTGCTTTTGAGAAGTAAATAGAACCTAGCCAGTAGAGAACCCAGGGGTGTGGCCAGTAGTTCTTTTCCCAGGCTCCTCCCTCCCCACCCCTCAAATGACCTTAACCTTCTTTCATAGCTGGAGAGCCGCCAAGTCCAGCCTAAACAATACTCTCAACCTCATTGGTTCTTTTGCCTTGCAGCCCCTACCACCCCCAAGTGGCTAAGACCCTCTTCACTAGGCCTTTCAGTGGGGTCAAGGTTTTCTAACTACTGAAAGGCAAACACCAGAGAAAAGGTGAAAAATATCTAGTATCTATGGCTTTTAAAGGATCAACATCTGGCTCCTGTAACTGCGAGGCTAGGTGGGGTCTTTGTCCTAGAATGGATAGACATCCTCAAGATACACGGATGGCTGAGGCCAAAAAGGATGCTTCTGGTAAATGTCGAAGATCTGACTGGTGCCACCCCTAGTTTCAAGATGGATGTAAATGTCATTCAACATCCTCAGAAACTGCCAATGAATACCCTTTTATCCTCAGGAAAGGAAGCGCAAAGTTTTGGTAAGGCAGAGCTGCCTGGCCTTATCATCACAGGCATTAGCCCTGCTTGCTAACAGCTGGCAGTGACAGAACCAGAGGTTAGTGTGGTCCCTTTTGTCCCATAATAGCATGGCCTCAAAGCCAAGATCAGGATCAGCTACACCATCATTCCCATAGGATTAGGGCCATGGAAAGTTTAGCATCTGGAAACTGAGTTACTCAGAGGAAATATCCTGGGCCGCTCCTCTGCCAGTAAAGGGCCAAGATCATCTCCAGAGAGAGGTGAGTTGTCAGATTGCTCCAGGGGAGTGAGTGCTCCATGAGAACTACCAAACTTCCTTCATATCTTCAGTGGGAAATTGCTCGCTTCCCTTTTTGTTCAGGGAGTTATAACAGCCCATCTTTATTGAGCATTTTGTGCCGAGCACTATAAAATCCATGAGGTAGATATTATCATCTCCATGAGGACAAGGACTGTCTATCTTGCTCAGTGTTGCATCCTCATCTCCGTCACAAAGTAGGCACTCCTATTTTGTTGAATAAATCAAAAATATTAGATCAGAATTTAGTAGAGGAAAGAGTAGGTAGGAGCTCTTAAGACTTGGTGTGCCCTATGTAGAACTCTTGGCATAGCCCATAAAGACTCTTAGTTGTGTGGGAAAAAAGGAAGAGAAAGAGGTAAACCTGAGGAAGATTAATAGTTTGGACTGGTAGGGGGAAAAAAACATCCAGCGAGGCTGGAGACCTGAATTCAAGTCCCACCTCTGTCCCTAGCTGTGTAACAACAGGCCAGTCACCTCCCCTTTCTGAACCTTAGTTCCCTCATCCATAAAATACAGGTATCAGGTTAAACAAACGAATTTATTCACTAGATCCTATTGAGTACACACAATGTGCAAGGCACTATTCTAAGTGTTGGTAATACTTTGGTGAACAAGGCCCCCACTCTCACAGAGCTTATGTTCCGTAAGAGAAAAACAGACAATGAAATTAGTAAAATTCATGGACAGGACAACCAGGTGATACTAAGTGCTATGAAGAAAACATAATAGGATGATGGGATAGTACAGGATGGTGGTTGTGACTGGGTAGACACAGAAAGCTTCTCTGAGGAGGTGGCATTTCAGCTGAGACCTGAATGTAGTGGATAGGCAACAAAGCATTTCAAGTAGAGGAAACAGGAGAGCCAGGCAAGTTCAAGAAACAGAAATGCTTTAACTCTCTTACATCCCAGGATTCTAGAAACAGTGATGCAGTGCTTCATTGTTTAGTCAGGGATTTGTATTACCAAGTTGTTTCTTGGTGGTGTGAGATATTTGCTCCTCAACAGAAGCGGCTGGGTGGTACAGAATCTTTCGGAAGCCCTGGGATACCTCTCTGTCTCCCTGGCTCTCCCACTGTGCTGGCCGCTCAGCTGGCTCCCTGTGTAGATGCAGGCTCCATTTTAGCTGCAAACTCTAAAAGCAGACCCGAGAGAGCTGCCTCCTCCACTACTTACTCACAGCCTTGGAGGCCCAGAACCCCTTCCCATCCCACCTAGTCTCCTTCCATTCTGACAGGCCAGAGCTTTGAGAGCACAAGATTCAGCTTCCTTGTTTTCCAGTCAAAGCAGGAGCCAAGGAGCCAGAAAATGAAACAGGAAACAGAGCGGAAGAGGAGGGGGGTGGGTAGTAGAGAAGGAAAGGAAGGAGAAATAGCAAGAAAGTAGGGCTGAAGATCTGGACAAAGTTCTACCTCTAAAGGGTGACAGTTGAGCTTTGAGCTTTTAAAAAAAACATTCTGACTTGTTACAGGAGACCCCTGTCCTTTTTACAAATAGATTTTTGAGGGAATTTGTTGTGGACAGAGGGAAACTTTAGAATGCATGTCTTCTTCCCTCGTGAATTCACAAAGGAAGAATAGTTCGTTTCTCAGTTTTGTCTTTGCAAACAGAGTGCTACTTTGGAGTCTCACAGACTTCTAGAGATTCAAGGCACAACCTCAGGCCCCAGTCACGAGTGTGCCCCACAGCTCTGCCGATTCACTCATATGCCTCTGGAGCTGAGAACAAGTGTGTGTTACTGAAAAACCTGGGGGAAGAGCCTTCCAAGCTCCATTTTCCCCCTTCTCCTCCAACACACCACGACTAAAATGTGATTTATCCGCCTTACACACAACAAATATCCGAGGGCAGTTTAGGTATCAGTGCCTGAAATGAGCTGGAAAGAATCAAAAGATACAGTCCCTGGCCCCCATAGAACTGATGTGGGCTAGCTGTCTTTGCCCGAAGAGATAGCAACCATCCCTTTTGTTCCCACCCACGTTAGTAGCTGTTGCGGAAGATAAACCCCTCCCTCAGGCAGGGCTGTGGCCAGAGGCTAACCCAGACCCTAGCTTCGTTTGGAGGGCGGATAACTGAAACCACAGAGGGCTTTGGAATCCTGAGAAACGAGAAATGCACCAACGGAGAAGGATTTATTATCTATTTCCTTTAGGGAGGGTGCAAAGTTGTTATAACAGTTTCCGTTACAGGGGTACCAACTGGCCGCTCCTCCCTTAACAGACAGTTTTGTCGAGTTAGCTTCTTTTTTTTCTTCTTCTTTTTTGGCCCCACTTCCTCAGAGAGAAACTGCTTGAATGAGGAAGGAGAAAGGAGTCCCGGGGGGCGTTCTCTGAAGTTTCCCTTACCACCCTCATTAGCCACCTGAGGTGCAGCTGAGGACTGAAGCAGGGTAGAAGGTCCCCAGCAGCTGGAGGAGGGGAAAGTCAGGGGGAACCCCCACTTTCTTCACACTCAGGACGCAGTGTGCCGCTACTGGCCACAGAAACCCCAAGAAGGCTTTTCTTTCTATTTAGAGAATATCTATTGTGTGCCAGGCCCTGTGCCGAGCTGTTGCTGTCCGACAGCAGGGCAAGTGGGGCTCTGGCTTCTGGGAAGAGGCCGCGGGGCAGCCCCCAGAACTCCGAAAGCCTCGGCCCACTGGGGAACTCAGTGGATGTTTGCGGGATGGAACTGGGGCAAAAGCACCGACTCTGAAACAGCGGCCCCGGCTACTGAAGGAGGCGGGAGGGGCTTGAGAAGCAGGTACTCTTCAGGTGTCACCAAGGCGGGAAGGTGCCAAGACGGTGGGGCACCAAAGCCCAGGACTACACCACCCGCAACCCCCGCTCGCCCGGAGTCAACATGGCCGCCGCAGAGGGGGGCGGGGCAGCTCCGACTCCGGGCAGGAGCGGGGCGGGGCCGCCATAGGCGGAGCCAGTGCGCAGGCGCGGCTGTACGGGGCCCCGGATGGGAGGAGCTAAGGTTTGGGCCCCCGCCTGGGAGGTTGGAGACCCGGCGGGGCGCTGGGGGACCCGGGCGGCCAGTTGGGGGAGCGGTGGAGTTT